TCTAAACCTACTTTGTTGAGGGTTTTTATCTTGAAGGGATGTTACACTTTGTCAAATCCTTTTTCTGCATTTTTTGAAATGATACTCTGTTTTTTATTCTTTCTTATTGATGTGATGTATCACATTGATTAATTTGAGAATATTGAACCACCCTTGCATCACAGGAATAAACCCCACTTGATTGTTGTAAATGAGTTTTTTAATGTATTATTGAATTCAGTTTACTAATATTTTATGGAGGATTTTTGAGTCTATGTTTAGAGATACTGACCTTTAGTTCTCTTTCTTTGTAGTGTCTTTTTCTTGTTTCAGCATCAGGGTAATGCTGGCCTCATAAAATGAATTTGGAAGCTTTCCTTCCTTTTATATTTTTTGGAATAGTTTGAGAAGAATAGGTAATTCTTCTTTAAATGTTTGGTAGAATTTATCTGTGAAGCCATCTGGAACTGGACTTTTGTTTGTTGTTTGGACTTTTGATTACTGATTCACTTTCATTGCTGGTAATTGATCTGTTCATTTTCTGTTTCTTTCTGCAGTCTTGGTAGATTATATGTTTCTAGGAATTTACCCATTTCTTCCAGGCTGTCCAGTTTGTTGGCATATAGTTTTTCATAATATTCTCTTATAGTGCTTTCTATTTCTATGGTGTCAGTTGTTATTTCTCTTCATTTCTGATTTTGTTTATTTGAGTCTCTCTCTCTCTCTCTGTCTCTCTCTCTTTTGATGAGTCTGGCTTAAGGTTTATCAATTTCATTGGTCTTTTCAAAGAACCAGTTCTTTGTTCTATTGTTTGTTTGTTTGTTTTTAGTTTCATTTATTTCTGCTCTAGTTTTTATTATTTCCTTCCTTCTACTGGTTTGGGGTTTCGTTTGTTCTTTTTCTAGCTCCTTTAGATGTGTGGTTAGGTTGTTTATTTGAGATTTTTCTTGCTTCTTGGGATAGACCTGTATTGCTATGAACTTTCGTCTTAGAACAGCTTTTGCTGCCTCCATTTTGACCACTGTGTTTTCATTTTCATTTGCATGTATTTTTTGATTTCCTGTTTGATTTCTTGGCGACCCAGTCATTGTTTAGTAGCATGTTATTTAACCTTCATGTATTTGTGTTTTTTCCAGATTTTTTCTTGTGGTTGATTTCTAGTTTCATAGTGCTGTGGTCAGAAAAGATGCATGGAATGACTTCGATGTTCTTGAATTTGTTAAGACTTGTTTTGTGACTTAATATATGATCTGTTCTGTAGAATGTTCCATGTGCGCTTGGGAAGAATGTATATTATTCTGTTCTGTTCTGAATATATCTGTTAGATATATCTTGTCCAGTGTGTCATTCAAAGCTACTGTTTCTTTGTTGATTTTCTGTTTGGATGATCTATCCATTGATATAAGTGGGGTGTTAAAGTCTCTTACTATTACTGTGTTACTGTTGATTATTCCCTTTATGTTTGTTATTAGCTGCTTTATATATTAGGTGCTCCCATGTTGGGTGCATAAATATTTACAATTGTTATATCTTCTTGTTTTGTTTTTCCCTTTATGATTATATAGTGTCCTTCTTTTTTTCTTGTTACAGTCTTTATTTTAAAGTCAATTTTGTCCATTATAAGTATTGCTACCATGGCTTTCTTTTCACTTTCATTTGCATGATAAATGCTTTTCCATCCCTTCACTTTCAATCTGCATGTGCCTTTCTTTTTAATTAATTAATTAATTATTTTAAAAGATTTTATTTATTTATTTGTCAGAGAGAGAGAGAGAAACAGAGTGAGCATAGGCAGGGTGAGGGGCAGAGGGAGAAGCAGACTCCCGGCTGAGCAGGGAGCCCAATGCGGAACTTGATCCCAGGACCCCAGGATCATGACCTGAGCTGAAGGCAGCCGCTTAACCAACTGAGCATTGTCCCCTGTTCATTGGAATCTGGCACTTCAGGTGTGTCTCCTGTGAGAGTTGCATGTGCCCTGCTGTTGTGGCTGAGCCATGTTTGCCTTCAGTCCAGTCATCTGCAGTGGCTCTCTTTGCCTGTTGTGGGCAGGGTTTGGTCCCTGTGTTATTAGTGGACTGGTCTGGGGACACGTTGGGCTTAAGTTGAGTCAGACCAGGCATTTGCCAGGGATGCAGTAGCACCTAACTGCAGGTGAATGTGGGGGCAGGTTGCTTGGTGCCAGCAAGGTTCAAGACAGGACTGGACCTCCAGCCCGGGGGACTGAGGCAGATTGTGTTGGAGGGGGCAGATCTGCAGAAGTACGCTGGGTTGGGATGCATGGTGTTAGCAAGGTTTACGTGGGTCTCTTGTGAGAGGAGACCTGGATCAGAGGCCTGGCTGGAGGGGGCATGTCAGCTGGAAAACGGGGGTGGGGGGGTAGGGGTGGGGTGGCGGTAGGGTCAGGGAGAGTGCACTGTTAGCAAGTTAGGTAGCAAGTGTTGGTGCTGCACTGGTTGCCAAAGGTAGTGTGTTTATGCTGGGGGTGAGTCATGAGAATGGTACCTGGTAGTAATTTTGTTCCTGGAGAGGTCTCCCAAAGATCCCTGCCTCTCCAGCACATGCTCTGAGATTTGTATAAACAAATCTCCCTCTTGTACACCCTAGGCATTTTTCACATTGCTGCTTTTGTGCTGTATCTGCATGGGGGCTGTTTGTTTTGCTGTCTCTTTAAGGGCGGACACTCAGTTTCTCTTGCCCTCCTGGCTCCCTCCTGTCTCTCCCTCCTGTCTCTCCCTCCTGTCTCTCCCAAAAGCTTGCTGATTTTTAAACTTCCAGATGTTAAGCCTTGCTGATTGTTAAGAACTCCTGAAATTCAGCTCCTCTGGTTTTCAAAGCCAGATGTTATGAGGATTGGTCTTCCCTGTGTGGGCTCCCTGGTGTGAGGGTCTGTTTCTCTCTCCTCTCTGTGCCCATGGTGTTCCTCCCTCCTGTGGACAGTCCTGCAGGTCCATTTAGCTCCCAGCCACATCTCTGTCCTTCCTACCTTCTTCAAAGTGGCCTCTTCTCTACATTTAGTTGTGTGGAGTCTGTTCTGCCAGCCTTTGGGTCATTTTCTGGGTTATTTATACTGAATTGGCTGTTACCTAGTTGTGTCCCCGGAATGAGGTGAGCTTATGGTCCTCTTACTTTGCCATTTTCTCCAGAGGTCTCCTGATGTTATGATGTTGTTATTTTTGTGCATGTCTCTTAGTACACATGTGCAGGAGTTCCTCTGGGGCATAGTCCCAGAAGTGGAATAACTGCATCATTGATATGTGTATGCCCACCTCACTGAATTATGCCATATTGTTTTCCAAAGTGGTATTCCAATTCATATTCTTATCTACTATGTGTAAAATTTACCCTTACTTAACATTTTCAGCAATCTCAGACTTTTTAAAAAAAGTTGCCAATCTGATGTATGTAAAACATTGCTGCTTAAATGATCACATGTAGAAACTGTTACCTGTCCACAATTTAATGAAAGCGCTGCTTGCTTTACTGAAGAAGTCTTGTGAAAAAAAATATTGTCAGCTGCAGTAAATAATATACTTAGTAATGTGGTTGATTTACATGCTGATGTAATTTTAATTTACAGGCCAACTGACCACTCTTTAAATAGCAAGGTGGAATGATATTTTATTGTGGTTTACATTAATATTTACCTGATTACTAATGAGATTGTGCGTTTTCCCCTACATTCATGTATCATTTATGTTTCCTCTTAAATTAGAAACTTGTTCATCTCTTTTGTTTATTTTTTATTTTTGTTTTTTATTTTTTTTAAAGATTTTATTCATTTATTTGACAGAGACACGGCAAGAGAGGGAACACAAGCAGGGGGGAGTGGGAGAGGGATAAGCAGGCTGATGCAGGGCTTGATCCCAGAACCCTGGGATCATGACCTGAGCCAAAGGCAGACGCTTAACGACTGAGCCACCCAGGCGCCCCTCTTTCATTTACTTTTTAATTGGGTTGATCTTACATATTCTGGATATTAATCCTTTGTTGTATAGGTTGCTATTCTGTTCTTCCAGTTTTTGGCTTGCTTTTCACTTTCTTTAATAAAAAATGTTCTTAACACTAATAAGTCACTTTTTGGCTAGTGCTTTTGGGTTTTGTTTGTGAAATTATTCCCTCCCAAACAGTCAAAAAGATATTTTCCTGCATTCTAAAAGTCTTTAGTTTTGCCATTCAAATGTAAATCCTTTTTTTTTTTTTTAAGATTTTATTTATTAGAGAGTGAGAGAGAGAGAGAAACAGCATGAGAGGGGAGAGGGTCAGAGGGAGAAGCAGGCTCCCTGCTGAGCCGGGAGCCTGATGTGGGGCTTGATCCCAGGACCCTGGGATCATGACCTGAGCTGAAGGCAGACGTTTAATGACTGAGCCACCCAGGCACCTCTAAAATTTAAATTAAAAAGAAATTCAGGGTACATATACATATCACATAATAGTAGAGCTAACATACTCTGTTGAGCCTGAACTGGATTAAGTTAAAAATAAGTGAAGACAGGGGTGCCTGACATACTCAGTTGGTAGAGCATGTGACTTTCGATCTCACGGTTGTAAGTTCGAGCCCCGTGTTGGGTGCAGGGATTACTTAAAAATAAAATCTAAAACAAAAAAGTAAATGAAGAAAGAATTGTTCAGTTAGATGTTTGATTGGCTTTACTTTCTAGAATTGCAGTTTCTACTCTTAGTGTTTTTGTTTTTAAGATTTATTTATTTATTTGAGAGAGAAAGAGCACAAGTGGGAGGGGCAGAGGGAGGGGGGAGAGAGTCCGAAGCAGACTCCACACTGAGCACGGAGCCCAACATTGAACTTGATCCTGCGATCCTGAGATCACAACCTGAGCTGAAACCAAGAGTTGGACACTTAACTGACTGGGCCACCCAGGCACCCCTACTATTACACTTTTTAAAGAATGGTTGAGATTCCGAAAATATTGACTATTTTTGTTTTGAAAAACATTGATTAAGAATGTAAAAATTATGGATGTAATGGTTAATATTAATATTTTACATGTTTTTTTCCTTTCAAGTCTTGATACATCATCAAAAGCATAGTCTTTCCAAGATGGCTTATCAGACACCTCTTTATCCTTGTTCTGTATATGTTCAGGTGCCCAGCAGACATTTTGCTGCTGCTACAAAGTAAGTATTTTTTTTTTATTAATTTTGTTTGTTTTCATTCAAAATTTTGATTAAAAAACATGCTTTTGTCCCATAAAGATGTACAGGGACATACAGTTGTGAAAGTTTATCATCTCTGCTTTTTTGACCTTTTGTAGTTGTAAAGGAAAATATGACTTATAGTAATACTTAACATTTATTGAACACTGACATTCAATGGCTGATTTATGTTCCGCAGCTACTTTATGTGGAAGCTGTTATTAGCATGTTCTTTTTTGAGTTGAAAAGCATGGTGTTGAAAGATTATGTAACTTGCCTAGGTTCACAGAGGTGGTAAGTGTTGGAGCTAGGACTTTGTGACATAATAAGAAATATTTATATTGGTCTCTGACTCCAGTTCCTGATACAGAGCTCCTAAAACTCCTGTAATCTTCTGAGTGATTTTAAATCCTTCTGAGTGATTTAAATCCTGGATATTAATCCTTTGTTATATAGGTTGCTATTCTGTTGTTTCAGTTTTTGGCTTGTCTTTCACTTTCTTTAATAAACAAATGTTCTTAACACTAATAAGTCACTTTTGGCTAGTGCTTTTGGGTTTTGTTTGTGAAATTATTCCCTCCCAGTCAAAAAGATATTTTCCTGCATTCTAAAAGTCTTTAGTTTTGCCATTCAAATGTAAATCCTTAGTCCACCTAGATTTGATTGAGTGTGTGTGTGGTGTGAGCTAGGGATCTCAGTATACTCTTTTCCGTATGGATAATCCCTTTCCTTAATACCACGTAATTGAACTATTCGCATAGTGATTTGTAATAACATTTGTCATATTTCCGATATCCACATGTGTATGGGTTTGTTGCTGGGCCCTTTTTGCTTTATTAGTTTGTCTTTCTATACTTGTGCCAATAGCCAAGTGTCTTAATTACCATAGCTTCATAACAAGTTGATATCTGGTAAGGCAATTCCCTCCACTAGGAGCATCTGTTATTCTAATATTTGTTCTTTGACCCAGTTCCTGATACAAAGCTCCTAAGACCCTTGTAATTTTCTGGGTGATAGGAGCATCTTTTGTTCTATTTTTTTTTCATCTTTTGTTCTAATAAGGAACTCTTGGTGGGCTCCTAGATGGAGGCTGGTCACCAGAAAGACCAAGCCATGATTAGAAGCTTTCAGCCCCACCTGTCATCCAGAGAAGCTAGAGATTGAATTCATAATCGATCACGCCTCCATAAAAATCCCTGTATTATGAGGTTCTAAAAGTTTCTGGATTGGTGAACATACACATTTGCCCAAAGGGTGGTGCACCCAGACCCAACGGGAACAGAAACTCTTGTACTCCAGACTCTTGTGGACCTTGCCCTGTCTACCTATTCATCTGTATCCTTTATCATATCTTCTATTACATAATAAACTGGTAAATGTTAAATGAGTGTTTCTCTGAGTTCTGTGAGTTATTCTGGCAAATTATGAAATCTGTGGAGGGGGTCACAGGATCCCTTGATTTATAGCCAGTTGGCCAGAAATACCAGAGGCCTTGAATTGTGATTGGCATCTGAGGTCGGGGCAGTCTTATGGAACTGAGTCCTTAACTTGTGGGACCTATCCAGGTAGATAGTATCAGAACTGTTTTCCATTGTTGGATACCTGGCTTGTAACAGATAATTGGTTGGTGTGGGAAAAAAATCCACACATTTAGTGTCAGAATTGTTGTTTCTTATTTAACTGTATATCCTGTTCTACCTCTTGCTTGCTTGCTTTTAACTTAACAATATATCTTGGAGATTGTTTCAGATGGAGCTGTCTAGTTATTTCTTTTATTGAGATATAACTGAAATATAACATTAGTGTCATTTGTACAACATAATGATTCAGTATTTGTATGTTTTGGGAAATGCTCACCACGGTCAGTCTGGTTAATATCTTTCACTATTCAAAGCTACAATTTCTTTTCTTGTGATGAAAATTTTTGAAGACTTATACTTTCTTAGTAACTTTCAGATAGACAGTACAGTATTATTAATAATATTCACCATGCTATACATTACATCCCCATGATTATTTATTTTATAATTGGAATTTTGTACTTTTGACCACTTGCCTGCCTCTGGTAACCTGCCTCTGGTAACCACCAATCTGTTCCCTGCATCTGTGAGGGTTTTTTTTTTTTTAATATTTCATGTATAAGTGAGATCATATGGCATTTGTTATTCTCTGACTTATTTCACTTAGCATAACGCCTTTACAGTCCATCCATGTTGTCTCAGATGGCAAGATTTCATTCTTTTTTTATGGCTGAATACTATTTCATTTTGTATATGTACCATATTTTCTTTATCCATTCATTTGTCAATGGACACTTAGATTGTTTCCATGTTTTGGCTATTGTAAATAATGCCATAATGAACACGCATATAATATTTCATTGTGTGAATATACAGTAATTTATTTAACCACTTACCTGTTTCCCCCTATGACACACATTTATCTTCTCAATCTTTTGCTATTACAAATGAATAATCATGTACATAGATCTTGTCAAAGATTATAAATGTATTTGTAGTATAAACTCTGAGAAATAAAATTTTTGAATCAAAAGATGTGTGCATTTATAATTTTGATAGGTAATAGGTAATACTAAATTGCCTTCATAGAGATATTGCTAATTTATGGCCTTACCAGTATATTGTATTAGAATGCCTACTTTTCCATATATAGTATAGTTAAAATTTTTGAACTTTGCCAATTTGATAGGTCATAAATAGTATCAAGTTTTAATTTTTTTTCATGTCTGACAATGAGAGTTACTCAGTAGCTTGATGAGAAGTTGTGGTCATTTTTTTAAAGATTATTTATTTATTTATTTGAGAGCGAGAGTGCCCAAGCATGCATGCACGCAGTGGGGAGGACAGAGAGGGACAGGGGAGAGAGAGTCCCAAGCAGACTCCTTGATGAACACAGAGCCTGATGTGGTGCTTTTCTCATGATTCTGAGATCACAGCCAGAGCTGAAACCAAGAGTTGGATGCTTAACCCACTGTGCCACCCAGGTGCCCCTGTGGTTTTAATTTTTTAATGTACTGACTTTATAATACACTAAAAAATCGTTTTTATACGGCAAAAAAAAATTTATCAGGATCTGAGACAGGGTGGAGAGGCTTGTGCTTGCTTCTCTCTTTTTCTCTTGTCATTTTGAATCCCTTCATTGGTCCATGTCTGTGCATATACTCATGGTTTGCCGGTGGCAGATCCCTGATAAAAAAGGCCACTTTGTTCATCTCCGACTTTGGTTCTGTTTCTCTGTTGATAATAGGTTCTTTTTCTTCTTCATGTATCTCAAAATTTTTTATTGACTGCCAAACATCTTGTGTAGAACAGTTGAAACCAAAGTACCTAGTATTTATGCCCGGGAATGCACATGCCTGTTGTCACAGTGTTGAATTAGTCCAGTCAGAAGTCGAGCTAGGTTTTGCTTTTGTTGTTGCTATGGTTACCACCAGCTTCAAATTTCTGTACTTTACCTTGTGCGTAGGATGGGGGCTGGGTTGCTTGGAAGGTTTTTCTCAGTGTTCCCGTTTTATGCTCTGTTTTCTGCCTTGCCAATGCAGGCCGTTGTGCCTCAGAGGGGGAGGTCTCTCTTTATACTCTTGCTCCTTCCCTAGTGTAGATTGCTGTTGCTTATTAGTGCTTGCTAGTCTGGAGATGGGTGCAGGAGGGATTCTCTGTTTTCCAAATCAGACTTTATCCTAAGTGGGCCCAGTGTGGCTGGGCCTTCGGGATGGGGTTTTCTCAGTATTTCTATCCCTTCTCCCCATAGTATTTCTCTATTGCTGGTCTTTGCCAGAGTGTCCAGGCCCTTACCCCCAGCTTTACTGTACTGGTAGAGGATACTGTGCTCCGGACTGTTTCCTGACCTACCCCTAAGGGTAGAAGTTTTTCTGTTTTTTCTTCTTTCTTTTCCCTATGCACATGGGTGATTACCTGTGCCCTACATGGTTTCAGGGTTACATGCCTTTCTAGCAGCAGTGGCTAATCTCTGTGCCTGTACTCTTTAGGGAGGCTTTCTGGTCTCTTGGCCTGCTCCAGTCTTTCCCAGGAGCATCTGGTGGAGGTCTGTGGAAAGAGCCTACAAATTGAGTATAGCCTACAAATTGGGTACGAATTCCTGTTGTGTGTGAATGTCCCAGGGGCTTTCTAGTAGCCCTAACATTATTACCTGTTTCCCTTCCTCTTATACTCTGCTACAGGTGAGAGTGTCCTGAGTATGCATGTGGAGTGGGAGAAGGGAATGTGGGCTGATTCTTCTTGGATTTAAGGCTACTTGGTTGACCTGTGATCTCAGCTTTGTGATGCATTCAAGAAAAGTTGTGATTTTATCCGACTCTCTAGTTGTTAATACTCTTTCCAGTTTTTATTTTTTAATTTTCATTTATTTGTATTATTGACTGGGTTTTATTCTTTTGACTTTGACATTATAAGCATAAGCAGAACTTCTTTTTTTTTTTAAAGATTTTATTTATTTATTTGAGAGAGAGAGAATGAGAGATAGAGAGCACGAGAGGGAGGAGGGTCAGAGGGAGAAGCAGACTCCCCGCTGAGCAGGGAGCCCGATGCGGAACTCGATCCCGGGACTCCAGGATCATGACCTGAGCCGAAGGCAGTCGCTTAACCAACTGAGCCACCCAGGCGCCCCATAAGCAGAACTTCTGCATTTAGTTTCATGAATAAACCAGGGTCAGAGATATTAGTGAATTTATTTACATGATTATACTGAGAAATGAGATGTCCAGATGTTTGCATTCCATTAATAATTCTGTTTAGTTTGACAGAAGTTGTGTATCACCATGCCCCCCAACTTCCATCCCCTAATTCCTCAATGTAAAGGGTTTTTCAGCCTTGAAGGGACTTGGATCTCTGGGGTCACAGATCTTCAAAGGTCTTGAAGTGAGCTTTATTATAGCACTGAATTTTTTTGTTTGTTTTATTTGAGTATGACCATGGAGTTATTTTTCCTTTCATGCTTTTGGAGTTAAGGGACAGATGAGGCAGGGGGAAAGTTATTACCTTAGTATAATCTCTCTCTTTTTTTAAAGATTTCATTTATTTATTTGACAGAGAGAGACACAGCGAGAGAGGGAACACAAGCAGGAGGAGTGGGAGAGGGAGAAGCAGGCTTCCTGCGGAGCAGGGAGCCCGATGCGGGGCTCAATCCCAGGACCCTGGGACCATGACCTTAGTCGAAGGCAGACGCTTAACAACTGAGCCACCCGGGTGTCACTGAGTATAATCTATTATTACTCATTTAATCTATGTGGTTTAGGTACCCAGGTAACTGCAGCTAAATTTTCTTTGATTCAGACTGCCAGGCATTTTTCCCTCACCTTGGCAAAAACCTTTTTTAAGTATGATTTATTTTTATTCCCCAAGAATCAAAGTATTTAAGCTCTCCTGATAGGGCCTTACAGAATTGCATGAACAACAGAGGTCTTCTGGATATGATTCTAATGAATAAAGATAGGCATTTTTTGGAGGGTCATGGAAAACTGGCAGTGGGTCTATTAAATTAATTATTGACAGATTTTGTTCAGTTGTGCTTTTTTTTAATTTTGGAAGAAAGTGTTTTTTTTAGAGTCCTATTTGATCTCTGTTATAATGATATTATGCTTTTTTTTCTTTAAAACAGTGTTCCATTTGTAACTTAAAAATATTTTTACTGAATCACCTCAAGTATTTTGTGAAACAAGGACCAAAGTATAAATAAACAAATTGCGGTATACTCAATGCACTCTATGTATCAGACTTCTGTTGGGTGTTGAATATATTTATGAATTTAAAAATCATGTTTCAGTCCCTGGGGAATTTGATATTAATTGCAATTTAAATGGACAGGTTTGGCCATGATAAAAAATTTTGTGGTGAAATCAGCATTTATGTAAAGTAAGTCTGTAGGTTACAGCTAGGACATTTATTTGTTTTGTTTAGATGGAGAGTATTTTACTAAAACATTCTCTTTAGGCTCCTTCTTTTATTGGCCTCCCTATTCTTTTACTAAATATAAAATAAAAATGTGATTTCTCCAGTTTGGAAGATTTGGAATTTTGTGGAGTACTTCCAAAGTAGCTATTGAGGCATGTTGCATCCATACACTTGGACACCTGCTTAGACTTGTTGTCATCAGTCCAGAAGGACACCTGTGTCCCATTAAAAATGAGCATTGTCATTATCTGCTATTCTGTGAATTGCTTATTAGCTGGGAGGATGCTGTTAGTTGTGGTAATAAGGATTCATTGAGGGCTAAAGAGTGTGAATGGAATTATACATTGGATTGGATTTTGAGTTTCTTTTTTAAAAATTTATTTTACTGTCATCTGTTCCTGTCACATAAATTTTATAGGACCTGTATTTGTTTTCTGTTAACAAATTACCACAAACTTTGTGGTTTAAAACATCAGGAGTTTGTTATCTTGCAGTTCTGTAGGTCAAGTCTGTCATGGATCTCACTGGGCTAAAATCAGGGTGTCAGCAGGGCTTCCTTCCTCTCTAGAAGCTCTAGGGGAGTATCTGTTTCTTCTCCATTCGCACTTTTGAGAGGCTACCGACATTCCTGGGCTTGTGGCCCCTTTCCTCCATCTTCAAAGCCAGGAATGGCAGATTCCCTTTCATGCTCGAATTTCTTCTGTCTCTTACCATCTCTTTCAAATGTAGGGGGGAAAGAGGAAAGTTTCTGTGCTTTCAAGGACTTGTGTGATTAGATTGGCCCCTGGATTATCCAGATAATCTCCCCATCTCAAAGTCTTTAGCCCAAGCACATCTGCAAAGCCTTTTTTGCCATGTAGATATAACATCGTTGGAAAGCCATTATTCTGCTTACAACAGAACTTAAACCTTTTTCTAGAAATATTACTTAACTAATTTAAAACTCTGTGGTCAAAAGATTATAGGTGTGATTTGAAATAGTGTTGAGAAAATATATATTATCTCTAGCTCTTTTTTTTTTCTGTCTTCTTAGGTTCAAACTCTTATCTGTTCTCTTAACTTACCTGTTGAACATATTTTCCTAGATATTTTGTAAACACCTTGTTAGCTTTTGTTATATACCAAACCACTCAAGAATTCTTTATCATTGCCCACACATCTGTGGGTCAGCTGATCTAAGCTAGGTTTGGATGGGTGTCTCTTGGGACTTTGGCTGGGCTTGCTGCACATCTGTGAGTCTGCACATCAGTTGTGAATTGTCCAATCTAGCCTGGGGCTTTGTGGGGGCAACTCTGTTTCACAGTCTCTTATTCTCCTGCCTTTGGAGTGGCACAAGCATGTTCTTATGGAAATGGCAGAAATACAAGCATGCAAGTGGAAACATATGAAGCTTCTTATTGGCCTAGGCTTAGAGCAGAGAACTATCACTTTTGCTTTATTATATTGGCCAAACTAGTCACATGACCAATCCAAGTGCTGGGACATATGCTCTACCCCTTTAAATGGGAGGAACTGCAAAGTCACTCAGCAAAGTGACTTGAATGAAGAGAGGGGATAAAATTAGGGTTGATGATGCAACTAACCCCACACTCAAACTCTGTATTGCCCCAAACTGAACTCATCTCACAAGAAACCTGTTTTGCCTTTATTTCTGGTCTTAATGATACTACGCTATGCCTGGTCACCCAAGCCAGAAACAGAAGTATTGTATAAAAATAGTCTTCTTTTTTCATCTTTATTTTTCTGCAGTATTTACTTTATAAATATCTAATCTCTCATCTTCTCCAGCCTATCACCATCACTGCTGTCATACCTCCTTGAGAAGAAAAGGAGGGGTAGTCTTTATATTGTCTCCAATCCAACTTCCTTCAAATCTGTCTCTTATATTGTAGCCGGAATATTCTACTGGAAATACAGATGTCACTCCTGTTGTGTAGCTTCTCATTGCTTCTAGCGAAGGCCCTCTATGATCTAGATTATCCAGCCCTATCTTCAGATGTTTCTTGCCTTCTGTTTTGCCTGGTAGTTCAGGAGACAGCAAACTATGTCTAGTGGGCCAAAAAATCTGTTCTACCATCTATTTTTGTATGGTTCATGAACATAGTTCTTACATTTTTAAGTGATTGGATAAAAAAAGAAGAAACAGTGTTTTGTGACACATGAAAATTAGGAAATTTAAGCCATTTGTTTGTACATAACGTTTTATTGGAACATGGGTACACTCATTCATTTTTCAATGTCTATGGCTGCTTTCACATTACAGTGGCATAATTGAAATACTGAGGTAAGAGACTGTAAAATATTTGCTGTCTGGCCCTTAGAGAAAAATTTTGTCCCCCTCTGCTCTCATCAGAATTTATAATAGCTCTCCTTGTGTACTTGTATTCTGTTTGATGACTCAATACTTTTATTATGTTGTTTCTTTGCCTGGCTAACTCTATTTTTTAAGGTAATAGCTTTATTGAGATATAATTTACATACCATTCAATTTACCCATTTAAAGTGTACAGTTCAGTGGTTTTTAGTATAGTCACACTTTTGCCACCATCACAGTGTTATTTTTAGAACATTTTTGTTAACTTGCCCTAAAACCTCATGCCTATTGGCAGTTTAGGCCCCATTTTTCTAACCTCCTCTCCCAGCCTTGGACAATCACTAAATCTACTTTCAGTTTCTATGGATTTGCCCATTCTTGATGTTTCATACAAATGGAACCATAAAATATGTCATCTTTTGTGACTGGCTTCTTTCATTTGCATAATGTTTTTTTTTTTTTAAAGATTTTATTTATTTATTTGAGAGAGAGAGAATGAGAGATAGAGAGCATGAGAGGGAAGAGGGTCAGAGGGAGAAGCAGACTCCCTGCTGAGCAGGGAGCCCGATGCAGGACTCGATCCTGGGACTCCAGGATCATGACCTGAGCCGAAGGCAGTCGCTTAACCAACTGAGCCACCCAGGCGCCCTTGCATAATGTTTTTAAAGTTTATACTTACTGTAGCTTGTATCAGTACTTCATTCCTTTTCACTGCTGATTAATATTTTATTGTGTGGATATATCATATTTTGTATCCATTCATCTGGGTTATTGAACATTTGGGTTTTTACTTTTTGACTGTTAGGAGTAATGCTCAGTGAACATTTGTGTACCTGTTTTCATGTAGTCATATGTTTTCGTCTCTCTTGGGTATATACTTGGGCTAACTCTTCCTTATTCTTCAAGAATTGATGTTAGGGTCATCTTCTCTAGAACACTTCCCTAGCTTCCTAGACTGGATTAAATGTCTTCCCTGCCGCTCCGAGAACACTGTGTCAAAGTACTTACCCATTGTATTGAAATAATCTGTTTGCATGTCTGTCTCCTCTATTCCTCTAAATTTTTGGAGAGCAGCATCAATGCCTTATCCAACTTTGGGTTAGCTGCAAACAGTACAAAAGTTTACTTAATATTTGTTCAACTAGAAACATTGTAAAGCAGTCTATGCTTTTGAATTAAAATAAACTTAAAAAATAAAAATAAACTTTATCTTTTGTTATTTTTTGTGTTTTATGTACATTGGCTTTTTATTTTTTATTTTTTTAAAGATTTTATTTATTTATTTGAGAGAGACAGACTGAAATAGCGACAGAAATAGCCAGAGAGAGCTTGAGCAGGGAGGAGAGGGAGAAGCAGGCTCCCAGCTAAGCAGGGAGCCTGATGTAGGGCCTGATCCCAGGATCCTGAGGTCATGACCTGAGCCGAAGGCAGATGCTTAACTGACTGAGCCACCCAGGTGCCCCTACATTGGTTTAAAAAAAAAGTTTCTTAGAATATGTACTGAGATAACTGATCTTGAATTTGTCTTTTTTTAAGGCCTGCAAAGAAAACAAAAAAAGGTGTGAAAGACAAAGCATCAGATGAGAAAAAAGATGAGATAGAAAAAATAAAGTCATACTCCTTTATGGAAGGCGAACCTGAGGATGATGTCTACTTAAAGCATTTATACCCAAGACGGATATATGAGGTGGAGAAAGCTATTCAGTTACTTAAGAAATTTCAAACTCTAGACTTTACTAATCCAAAGCAAGGTGTTTATCTTGATTTGACACTGGATATGGCACTGGGGAAAAAGGTATGTAGACTCAACTAAAATAAATTTATTTGTGAACAGGGGCTGTATGAATTGCTGTTTCTTAATTTTTAAAGTCCCTTGTTTCCTATAATTTTTGGGAAGTCTTATGCTCTTTCTATACTATGGGATGAAAAATTTTGTTTTTATTTTCCAAATATAAAAATACATTGAACATACTCTGCAGAGTCAATGAACATTTATCTCCTAGTTACCTGAAAATCACTAGTATAAATTTCAGCAAAAGTAGTGTTAAAATTAATTGAGGTATTACTGTAACTTTGAAAAATGACTTAAGCTGCCTGGGTGTCATATTCCTTTTCTGTAAATGAGGGTTTGGGATTAGAGGTATGTTCCTTGGAGTCCTGCGTTGAGACTAAGTTTGCATCAGTGGGGTGCCAAGCCCCTCACTCTTGCTTCAACCAAAACTTTTCTGCTTTATTTGTTTCTATGCAGTTTCTTGGATGACTTTTGTTTATAAAACTCTAAAAGTAGTAAAAATACTGAATTAGAGTTGAGGTCCATTACAACTCTAAATCTCATTTAAGAAATCTAATTTTCTTGGAAATGGTATTTTAATTTTTATTCTGAGGATGTCTTTTTTTGGTCAAACTAGAAGGTACAAATTTTTGAATACAATTTAACAACCTCCACAACAACAATAGTTGAACACTTAGGAGGAGGTTGTATAGTGTAGCGCTTAAGAGCATGGGCCCTGGAGTCACATTACAGTACAGGCCAGAATCCTGGTGTCACCACTTACTTGCTTTTTGACTTTGGGTTTCTGGTTTAACCTTTTCAGATCTATTTTTTCCCCACCTCTTTATAAAGGGAGATAAAATGCTTAGTTTACACAGTTTTTAAGAGGATTAAATGAGACAGTGCATGTAAAGGACTTGCTAAGTGTTTAATAATCACAATCAACATTTACAGGAAACTTTCTGTGTACCAGCCACAATGCTAAGTGCTTTGCATGCATTTTCTCATTTAATCCTATAATAACCTCAAAAGAGGAAGCTGAGACAGAGAAACTGAAGTAACTTGTTCATGGTCACAGAATAAGAGGTGAAGTTAGGATTTGAATCAAGGTCTATCTTATTTTGTAGTTCTTATTTCTTAGAAACAGTTTATACCAGCCATGCTGTAATTTTATTTTATAGCACAATTTTACTGTTAGTTCTTTTATTTTAAAAATGTTGTAGTATCCAAGATACTTTCTCACTTTCTCAGTCAGCCATTAATGTACTGTTGACCCTTGTTGACCCTTGAATAACATAGTTTTGAACTGTGAGGATCCACTTACATGCAGAGTTGTTTTTTTTTTTATAAAGGCAGTATACTACTATAAATGTATTTTCTCTTTCTTATTTTCTTAATATTTTCTTTTCTCTAGCTTTCTTTGTTATAAGAATACAGTATCTAATACAGACAACATACCAAATATGTGTTGGTTGACTGTTTATGTTATCGATAAGGCTTTTGGTCAATAGTAGGCTATTAGTAGTTAAGTTTTGGGGGAGTCAAAAGTTACCTGCAGCTTTTCCACTGTGCTGGGGGTAGTGCCCCAACACCCGAGCTCTTTAGTGGTCAACTGTGATTCATAATGAAGAGTTGTAGGACCACAAGCTTCATTTCATAAATGAAAGCCACTTGTAGACTATTAACATTGAAAGGGTACTATTGTCTTCCTAAGACATTTTTTGTTTTTGATAGAGTGCTTATACAACAAGCCAGTATTTCCCCAGGGGATGCTTCTATTGTGATTACTTGCCATTGAAATATTTACTGAAACTAGTTGTGACATGTTAATGGCAAAGGAATGCCAGTCGGTAAAATTGAGTTGCATGTCTGATGTCAAGTGTGCTTAAGAGTTTGTTCTTTTCTTTTTTTTTTTAACCAATGTTGGTACTTTATTATTATTATTTTTTAAAGATTTTATTTATTTATTTGACACAGAGAGAGAGAGATAGCGAGAGAGGGAACACAAGCAGGGGGAGTGGGAGAGGGAGAAGCAGGCTTCCCCCCCCCCCCCTCCCAGCAGGGAGCCGGATGCGGGGCTCGATCCCAGGACCCTGGGATCCTGACCTGAGCTGAAGGCAGACGCTTTAACGACTGAGCCACCCAGGCGCCCCGAGTTTGTTCTTTCTTGTCTGAAAAGAAATCCTCAGGAGGTTATCTCTACTCAAAATAAAGTTTTGCTAAAAATATAACCTTTCAATCAGTCTTAATTAGGGAACAACCTTTTTTCCCTTTCTTCTAGAGCTTAAAACTGTACTAAAACTATGGGCCTAGATTTTCCATGTGAAGTCTAAGTGATATGAGCCACAGGACTAGACAGGTCCTTGGCTAGAAAACTGAACAAAAAAATTCTGAGGCCCTGTAGCATCTCCATCCATATTTGGGTGCCTTAATGCATGCCATTATATATTTTGGATTTTCCAACTGACTTCCCGAAAATCTTCGAAATTGGTGGGCAGTCCATGTTGTTTCAAAATAGACCCACTCAGAAGAGCCTTTCAGGCTTGGCACTCTGGCTTAGATTTGGTGTTAATAGTGACCTACAGAGCGGATTAGCTGGAAATTTTCTGTCATCTGTTAGGCATAGCTGTGCTCATGTCCTCCTTGATGGTGTTAAAAAACTACATGTTCTTTTGAATTTAATTCAAGTTAATAAACATTATTATTATTTTTTAAAGATTTTATTTATTTATTTGACAGAGAGAGACAAAGTGAGAGAGGGAACACAAGCAGGGGGAGTGGGAGAGGGAGAAGCAGGCTTCCCACTGAGCGGGGAGCCTGATGGCGGGGCTCGATCCCAGGACCCTGGGATCATGACCTGAGCCGAAGGCAGACGCTTAACGACTGAGCCCCCAGGCGCCCCAAGTTAGTAAACATTTATTGATATCCATCATGTAGAAAGCATTATACTAGGTGCTGCGGAAGATATGGATATGCAAACACATCACTAAATACATGAGAGATTGTGATGAATGATGTAGAGGTAGAAGCCAAGTGCTGTGGCAGTATGGAGGTGGAGAGAGAGATGCAGATTTTCATTATGATTTCTTAGAAAAGAAATAGTCTCTTATGCTTTAAATTGTAATCAGTGAATGTTCTAGATTAATTAGAGGACATATGGTAGAATTAAAACATTGAAAACAAAACATCAGTTTTGTTTTTTTATAGATGTGAGATATATAGAAAAGATGAATGAATTTTTCATTATTATTTTTCCATTGTTGTGTATCTAGAAAAAAGTGGAGCCATTTGCCAGTGTTCTTCGTTTTCCATACCCATTCGTTTCAGAAACCAATAAAGTTGCTGTATTTACAGGGGTGAGTAACCTTTGTCAACTTTTCATATCATTTAATTTTTTGCACATATCACATTAATCAGTGCTTAGATTAACTGAATGAGTAGACTATTCACATAGTCTTGTTTTCCCCATTTGAGGCAGTTAGATGACTTATTTGAGGTTATGTCATTTGAGAAAGAGCTAAACTAGAATATTAATTTCATCATTATTAATCTACTACATTATGTTTCTCACAAGAAACTGAAGAGAAACAGAGAATTTGTCCTACTACCTCCTGCTTCCTACTCAGAGTACTCTCTTCAAACAAAAACAATGAGATTATTATTTTTTTTAAAGATTTTTATTTATTTGATAGAGAGAGAGAGAGGAAGAGCGCATGTGCGCACATGCAAGCACACAAGCACCCAAGCAGGGGGAGCGGAGGCAGAGGGAGAGGGAGAAGCAGGCTCCCTGCTGAGAGGGAGCCCGATGTGGGGTAGGGCTTGATCCCAGGACCCTGAGATCATGACCTGAGTTGAAGGCAGACGCTTAACTGACTCTGCCACCCAGGTGCCCAGTAAAATTGTTTTAAAGCAATGGGCCCACTTAGTGCTGTGAAGACACAGAAACCACACTTAAAAATATGTAGTCTGGAAAACCAGGAAAGTCAAGGCTGTAACAAATAGAATCATATGGCTCTTTGTCAGTCTTTTTGTATTATAAACATTTGAAATGTATTTATGAATTTGTTTTGTAGAGTGTTTTGATTTTTCTGTATCTGCTTCACTTTCAAGGAAGAGATTTTTTTTTTCTAGAAAAGTGGAGAATATAGCTGTTGGAATGCTACAAAACTTGAGTGACTTAAGGGAGTGATATATTTTCACAGTAAAACCAAATGGCATAAAGGGAACATAGAAAATAACTAATACTGTATGTATATATATATATTTTTATTTTTTAAAGATTTTTTTATTTATTTATTCATGAGAGACAGAGGAGGAGAGAGAGAGGGAGAGAGAGAGAGGGAGAAGCAGAGGGAGAAGCAGGCTCCCAAGGAGCAGGGAGCCCGATGCGGGACTCGATCCCAGGACCCTGGGATCATGACCTGAGCCGAAGGCAGACGCTTAACCATCTGAGCCACCCAGGCGCCCTATATATATATTTTTAAAGATTTTATTTATTTATTTGACAGAGAGACACAGCGAGAGAGAGAGAGAGCACAAGTAGGGGGAGTGGGAGAGGGAGAAGCAGGTTCCCTGCTGAGCAGGGAGCCTCATATGGGGCTTGATCCCAGGACTCTGGGACCATGACCTGAGCCGAAGGCAGATACTTAATGACTGAGCCACCCAGGCACCCCTACTGTATATTTTTCTTTTGAATTTTTAGACAACTGGCTAAAATTTTTTTTTTTAAGTTTTTAATTCTAGTTAACATACAGTGTTATATTAGTTTCAGGTGTACAATATAGTTTTGATTCTAGCATTCCTTAAGTAATTTTTCCTTTTTGGTTTGGTGTCTCCATTTAAGTTAGCAAAACTAAATATATCTTAATCTTTTACTTTTGGAAGATGATGTATTGAAGGCATTGAAGAATTAGATTGAGCCACTTCTTAGGTTCCTAATATGTCATTTCAGTGTATTTCCTCATGTGTTATTCAAGAAACACCTTAATCTACTACAAAGTAAACTTGTTCAGTATACAGTATCTCTGATGCATCTGATTGAGAAATGATGCATTTTCAGTTAAAAGTAAAAACCATAATTTTTATTTTGAACTGTGATATTATTTCTTACCAAATACTTGAAATCAGACTGAATTTGTTTAAAGATTGATATTCAAACTATTGTATTTTTATAGAATGCATCAGAGATTAAAATAGCAGAAGAAAATGGAGCTGCATTTGCAGGAGGACTTAATCTAATTCAGAAGGTACAGTGTTGTTTTCATATTCATTAGTAATAGAAATTGTTCTCTTATCTTTGCCATCCATTGATTTATTTCATGTGAAACATAACCACCATGCCTATATCTTTTGACAAATGGTTAGTACAGCTTTATAGAACAGGGAAAAATTTTCCTGCTCTTTTGAGTCTCAAAATCAAGCTAAGAAAAAACTATCCAGACAGTCTGATATTAATTATGCTTGATTTACATCATGATTTTTTTAACCCCTTGCTTCCTATATGTTTGTAAGAGTTTTTTTTTTTAAAGATTTTATTTATTTATTTGAGAGAGAGAGAATGAGAGATAGCACAAGAGGGAAGAGGACCAGAGGGAGATGCAGACTCCCTGCCGAGCAGGGAGCCCGATGTGGGACTCGATCCCGGGACTCCAGGATCATGACCTGAGCTGAAGGCAGTTGCTTAACCAACTGAGCCACCCAGGCGCCCCTGTTTGTAAGAGTTTTTGTGGGTAGACTGGAAAGGGCAGTATGACTCTCTGTGGTTTTGAATGCGAGATTTAAAATGGAATTTAAAAGGTAGCATTCATGAATATCACTGTTCATGTTTTGAAGATCAAATATTTGTTTTGCCTTCTTGGAGTGAAAAGTGTGATTAACTTTACAGATCACAAAGGATAATATCTGACCTGGAGTAATACAATACTTCTGATTACTCTTAACTTTTACTCTCCAACCACTTCAGAGTGGCATAGGCTCAGCATGAGGCAACAAGTGGTTATGTAGCCTGTGTTAAGAAAGTAACAAAGAATTTGTGGAGCTTGTTTGCAATCAGAACAATGTTTTTTTGTTTTATGTTGTTTTTTAAGAGGGAAGAAGAGGCATGTCTGTTGAATTTTGGGCGTTATTTCTGAAAATATGAATTTCTAAAGTCTTCTAAATTTAATTGTTTAAGTTATAGAATACCTTTTTGTTTTTAGAACAGGAGAAAGTGATTTGAAAATTTCTCTTTGCTCCACATCCAGATTTTGATTTGGGGAAAGTTTGAACTGTGCCCTTCTTTGGGATGTACAAGAGTGCTTGTAGTGTGTTTTTTTCTACCCCAATAGTACTCTAAATGTGGGGATTCTGGATTTTTTTTTTAAAGATTTTATTTATTTATTTAAGAGAGAGAATGAGATAGAGAGAGCATGAGAGGGGGAGGGTCAGAGGGAGAAGCAGACTCCCCGCTGAGCAGGGAGCCGGATGCAGGACTCGATCCCAGGACTCCAGGATCATGACCTGAGCCGAAGGCAGCCGCTCAACCAACTGAGCCACTCAGGCACCCTGGGGATTCTGGATTTTTAAGGAGTCTCCAGAATGATTTTTGGGAGTAGCACTAATGGAAAATACAAAGAGATTATGCTTTCATGCAGACTCTGGGTTAAAGTCAGAGGGTGGTACCCAGTTGTTTCTGATGTATCATAAGCTTTAATTTAATAAAATTATTAAAATTCTTTTAATTTTTAAAAAATAAGCAATACCACAGATTCTTTGGAATTAGAGAATAGAGCTTAGTTTCTGGAGCCAGAGAACTAACTATTCTTATTAAATCAGTGTACTGCCTTCCATCTGTTTGTTTGTTTTTTTTTTTTCTGAAAGCGTAAGAGTGTCTTGTAGAACTGTCAAAACAACAATAGAGTTTAAATGAAGTTAAATGTTAAGCAAGAAATTACTTCTCAAGAAAGAAATGGTAAAGGAGCAGAAAGTCTTCTGTAGAATTAAGTTTGTTAAATAAAACATATTTGAAAAAGTAACCCAAATAAGGAAACCAAGTATATTTTGAAATTATTTGGTAAATAAGATGTTACAGTACAGAATTTCTCTTTAAGGGTGCCAGTGGTGATTGATTACTAGAGGGAAAATGCCAATTGTATAAGGCATCACTAACATATTCTTGCAAGTTACCCCATGGAATCTTTCAAAGCTTATCCATGTTATTTGATTTTTTAAAATTTTTTAAAGATTTATTTTTTTTACCTGAGAGAGAGACAGAGAGTACGCACACAAATGGGGAGAGGGGCAGAGGGAGAGGAAGAATCCTTAAGCAGAGTCTGCTGGAGCTCAAGACCTGAGCCAAAACCAGAGTCAGCCGCCCAACCGACTGAGCCACCCAAGCGCCCCTCATCCATGTTATTTTTAGAAGCTATTCAGATTATGAAATAATTTCAAGACACTTTTGGTAGATAGTATCATGACTGTAATTTTTTTTTTTACATATTTCTGTACTTTTTAGTTAGGTTAAATACTATTTTACTTAGCACTTATAGAAGGTAGATGTAAGGTAAATTTAATGAACTAATAGTCATTTCTTAAGTTAGGCCTTTAATAAATTCATTTTGTTTCATAACTTCATTTTTATTTGTCTCTAAAGCATGGTTTTCATTTATATAGTTTTGTATTATTCCAAGAGGTGATCTTAAGGTTAACTTTAACATAACTTTTAAACAATTTTAAATTTAAAGGAGCATGTCATAAAATCCGTCTTAAAAGGTCTTAGAGTAGAAATTTCACACGCAGTTCTTTGACATTTCAAAATTGCCTCTGTTTTCATATTTCTATGAATAAGAGCCATTGCATGTGTTTGAAATCTGGATCTGCTCTTTATAAGTGCACAGACTGACTAATCTGTCCTAAGCCCTCAGTTTCCTGATCTGGGATGTGTGGTCAATATTAGTACTGGCCTCATAGGGTTATTATAAAGACTGGATGAACTAAATCATTTGACATGTTCAGCAGAATGCTTGGTCCATGTGCTAAGTGCTCATCTAATGCAAGTTGTTACTATTAAGGGGACCACAGTAAGCTATTTAGGGAGTAAAGAATTTGGAAAAATAAGAATAATAACAGGAAGGTTAAATTCCAGAATCACTGCTTAATTTTGCCATGGTACAAGATTTTAGGGTTCACTGTATAACACTAAACCATGTCTTTGAATGACATATTGTGGTAATATTATATGCAAAAAGAATCATTGGTAAAATATTTGTTGTCCAAGCAGTATTATTGTAAAAAGTTGCTTTTTTGTAATCAACTAAATGTTTTTGTAATCATTTTGTAATCAACTAAATGTTTAAATGGAGTATATTGTAGTAGTCTAATAATTATTTCGGATGCTTGCCTGAATTAATTAAAACTGTCTTTTAAAAATTGGATATTATTCTTTTTGCTATTAAAATGGAATTAGAGTGTGGATAGATAAATTATAAATGAATTTGTCTTTGACCATCCCACTCCTCTTTTATTTTTAGTTATTGGAGGCAAATAGAATTTTAGTTTCAGTTCTTTGTGAAAATAATTATAGATTAGTTCTCTTGATGCTCTAAATTTAGGAAAGCAGTGTGGTTGCTAGTGATTTGGTTGCTAGTTTATTTGAGTGTTATTAATTTAACATGTTATATTGCAAAATTTTCAGCATTGTTTCTTCAGTTTTAATGGACATATGAATTCAACTTTGTAGGATTATATGAGCCATGTATACACATCAGTGCTATCTTCTAGTTGATTACACCTTTGCCTAACATAACCCCACAGAAGAATTAAACCCAGTAAATGGGTTTTTGTTTTGTTTTGTTTTGTTTTAAAGGATGTGGCTATTTTTAAAAGAGAACATCAGAAAATGTTTTGGTTCTAATGGTTTTCATAATTGGTAAATGTGTTTGTAGGATCTTTGAAGGAAAGAATTGTGCTTAATGTCTGTTTTCTAAATTATAAGGGAAATTACTACATTATACTTTATTTTCAGAAGGATAAACCTTTTCATATAATTAAGGTTATCTTTTTTCCCCTGATTTTCAGATTTTGGATGATGAAATTCAATCAGACTTTTATGTAGCTGTTCCAGAAATAATGCCCGAGCTTAATCAATTAAAGAAAAAGCTGAAAAAAAGATTTCCAAAACTAACTCGAAGTAAGGGAGAATTCTTTTTATTCTTTTTATTATTTATTCTTTTTACTATTTTGATATGCTGTCAACAACTTTCTAATATGTATGTTTAGTTATAAAACAAAACTGCTAATTTTTATGAAGAGTAAATAATACGTTCTGGTATTTGAATTTCATGTTGTGTAAGAACATGTGGATTTGATTTTTTTTTTCCCTTTGGCATTAATATTGGTAGTCTAATAGTTTGAAAACCTAGTTACTTTATGTTCTTTAAATTTAGGCCATATTCAGGTTTGAAATTTAATGGCACATATTACCTATTAGGTATGTTATCATACTGTTTTATACTTCTTTATCAATATAATATGTATGGTTATTTATGTCAGCATTCAACTTCTATATTTATATATTATATATATAAACATTTATATACACACACACATATATATGTATGTGTATGTGTATTTATATATAAATGCTTATTGTGTACATGGCTCTGTAGATATTTCCTTTAAGGAACTTTTCCCTTATGGATATTTCCCCCTTAGGAAATCTAGTAGGAGGTAATGTTGCTACATAAATAGCCATAGTGTTAAGTATTATATGATAAATTCACAGCATGCCAAAGGTGTTTAGTAGAGGAGGATTTCACACATTGTTGGGGAAATCAGAAAAGGCATGCTGAAGGAGATAACATTTAAACTGTAACTTGAGGGGCACCTGGCTGGCTCAGTCAGCAGAGCATGAGACTCTTGACCTGGGGGTTGTGAGTTTGAGTCCTACGATGGGTATAGAGATTACTTAAAAATAAAAAATAAAATCTTAAAAAAGAAAATAAACTGTAACTTGAAAGGGGCTCCTGGGTGGCTCAGTCGATAGAGCATGTGACTCTTGATCTCAGGGTTGTGAATTGAAGCCCCACGTTGGGTGTGGAGGCTACTTAAACAAACATAAAAACTGTACCTTGAATAACTGGATGACTGGATTGAGGGTATTATTTTATATAGAAGGAATCTATTAATGATATACATTGAAGTAAGTCAGATATTATAGGCCATGTACCTATTATAGGCCAAATAATATCAGTTAATTCTCTTTGGCTTATAGTGAATGGCACCTCTACATTGAAATGAAAGAAAATAAAGGGAATCATATTGGAAGATGGATACCATATTGAGAAAGATCTTGAATAAGATCCTAAGAAGCTTGGACTTTTTTTCTGTTTTTAGCAGGAATCTCTTAGAAGTTTTTATTTATTTATTTATTTATTATTTTTTAAAGATTTTACTTATTTATTTGAGAGAGAGAGCACAAGCAGGGGGAACAGCAGAGGGAGAGAGAAGCAGACTCTGTGCTGAGCAGGGAGCTTGACACGGGGCTCGATCCCAGGACTCTGGGATCATGACCTGAGCCAAAGGCAGCTGCTTAACTGACTTAGCCACCCAGGTGCCCCTCTTAGAAGTTTTTAAAATGGGGAGTTCCTTAGAGCTTTAATCTAGAGAGAATTTATAAGATGTATTGGCATTAATCAAAACTAGAAGTTGGGACACCAGTTTAAGTGCAATTGCCAGAGACTAATAAAGGTATTATTTAAACTAAAGTCTTCATAATGAGACTGTAGTGAGGCGATAAATGTCAAAGAGACTAGGTCTTTGTGCTACAGTTAGGAATGGACAGGTTGAGGGAGTGAGAGGCGGGGAGTCATATGATGCTGAGATTTTGAAGCCTAGGGATCTCCTAATAAGTTGATATTAATGGAAACAAGTAATAGATTCGGGAGGAAAAATAAGTTCATTTGCTGACATAGTTTGTTTTGGGTGTGCTGAATTTGGGGTAAATTTTGTAGTATAAACAGAACAAGGATTTCAAATTGTTTTAGTAGATTCATGTTCAAATTTTAATTCAAGTTGAACTAATTCATCAAACATGATAGCCACTAATACTTAACCTGAATTATAGATCATGTTCTGTACTTTAAGCAAATTCAAATGTCCTCTCTGATTCTTTTATTGTTGTAGAATTTTATTTGTTTATTTTTGGTAAACTGCAGTGAATAACATCCTTATTAGATATCTGACTGAGGTTTGGTACTTTTTGTTAGGGATATCCATTATGGGAGTATCTGTTGTCATGGAATCAGACTTATATTCTTTCCTAAGTAGAACCTGAAACTGAACATTATTTTAAAATTTAAACCAAAATTACAGTTGAATTTGATGAAAATATTTTTCATAATTTTTTTGTGTCTAATTAAAATCAAGCTCTCTAAAACCAAACAATACTAAATATAGTCAATTAGAAGTGAAACGGAATACCAAATATATCAGTATCCCGTCATCTCCTTGCTTTACACAGTGAAATGATTTTTCATAGAAATTAACTTTGTCACCTTTGCTACTTTTCCATTCTCTAAATAATCTTTTTGGCCTCAATTTTCTTTATTCTTTAGCCTTGAGTTTTTTTGTTACTGTTTTCATCATAAAACTCGAGACTATTGTTTTTTAGCCTGAAAGGTTTTTAAATAATTTATTTCTTTATCTCAAATAAGAAAACTGTCCCTTTAAAATGTTTATTTTTTTAATTGACTTTACTTTATTTGCACTTTCATAATGAGTCATAGCTTCCGTATACCATGGTCAAGTTTCCTAGTTATGTAGTCCCCCTGCTTCCATTTGCTTTAACAAAGCATGAAAAAATAGACCTTTCTCCTTCTCTAACATTGTCTTTTCACCCCCCGCCCACCCCGGCCCCAGGATCTGTTTAACAGTACTGGCAAAACATTTGTGTTCTTTAAACATGAAGACAAACGATTAACCTGTCAAAAATGTTAAAACAGAATACACCAGATGTGCATTAGAACAAATGAGGCTTGTATTATGCATTTTCAGAGCTTATTCCGATTTTTGTTTAGGAACATTTGATTCCCCTTATATCCAACAAAAGACTTTAGGGTAAAATAGAAACTACGTTTTGAGCAAATGGATGAAATTAAAAAACAAACAAACAAGCCCCTGCAGCTGAGCTCATTAGTTTCCCATTTTGTCTTACATTTTGTTTTACTAATGGGAGTGGGTGTAACTATCTTGGTTGGATTGAGTGTGCACATTTTGCAGCATGTTTAATGCTGCATTTTTATTCATTTTATTTTAATTGCTTACGTAACTCTAGGCAAGTTCTCTATTTTTCAAATGCACATTTGGCTTCTTTTCCTAGTATTATTTTTTTTTATTTTTTAAAAAAAGACATTTAAAACTTGCTTTTTAAATTTCTTGGAAGAAATTGGGCTTCATTTTGCTTATCAACTAGCTTTTTTTCTTCCAATGTAAGTGCCCTCTGAAATCCTTTCATCTTTAATATAGATATGTTTTATTGATAAATTGGATTTTTAAATTGCTAACCTATCTTTTAGCACTTACTAAACAAAAAATATGAGTATGAAAAATATCTTGACTAATGGAATTAGTTTTTTATTATACATATTAACCCATGAATGGGTATTATGGCATATATGGAGAAAGTTGAATTCTTTTAAACCATGCTAAGTTATCGGCAGGTAGGTGGAAAAGGGACATGATTAGGAAATTGGACTCACTAATGTGTATTCCTCTTAATGCATAGAATTGAACATCAGTGCTCCAGTTGGAGTCTTGTCAAAAGGATGTGGTAGCAGTCTTGCCCAAAGAGTATCCATATTTACTGAGTAGGACACCGCTTTCTGTATGGAAGTTGGGGTTGTTAATCATATTTGAGACTAGTGGATGTGAACTTACTGAAATCTAATGTGAAATATTTTTAATTCATAGATTGACATTCTGTACTTAAAGAGTATTGCTTGCATTATTGAAATAATTAGAACTCTTTGGTTATATAAAGAAAAATACTAAGTAAGACATAGAGAATTTTTGCACAGTAATGAATTTGAAATTTTCCAAATTTCCCCCCTCATGTATTAGTTTAAAAACGATGTGTTTGTGAAAGACTCCAATGATTATTATGAATAATTATAATTATTAGAGATGAATTATTGATATATTACAGCTGGTTCTATTATTCTTTCCTTCATTTCCTTTACTCTAGCTATAGTGGCCTCCTTGTGCTTTCTCACACACACTAAGTGTTCTCCCTTCTCTGATCTTTGGACTTACTGTCCCATCTGTCTGTAATGCTCATTGCTTATTAGCTTGGTTCACTTCCTCATTCAAGTATCACCTAGACAGAGTGGCCTTCCATAACTCTACTATATAAACTATTATTCCCCACCCTCCCTTATCACTGTATTTTTCATTGTTGTGATTTTTTATATCTTTTAGGACTTAACACTCTTAGCGTCTTACTCTGGCAACCACCATATTGTTCTCGGTATTTATAGCTCTTTTTTGCCTTTTTGTTTGTTTGTTTTGTTTTTTAGATTACATATACAAGTAAAATCATATGGTATTTTCCTTTCTCTGACTTATTTCACTTAGCATAATACCCCCTGGGTCCATCCATGTTGTCACAGATGACAAGGTCTCATACTTGTTTATGGCAGAGTAACATTCCATTGTATATATATATACCACACCTTTTTTATCCATTCATCTATTCATGGACATTTGGGTTACTTCTATATCTTGGCTATTGTAAATAATGCTGCAGTAAACATAGGAGTGCATATATAAATTTTTTTGAATTAATGTTTTCATTTTCTTTGGGTAAATACCTGGCAGTGGAATGAATTACTGGATTGTATGGTATTTCTATCTTTAATTTTTTGAGGAACCTCCATACTGTTTTACACAGTGGCTGCACCAATTCACATTCCTACCAACAGTGTACAAGGGTTCCTTTTTCACCATGTCCTCACCAGTGCTTGTTATTTCCTGTGTTTTTGATACTAGCCATTCTGGCCAGGTGTAAGGTGATGTCTCATTGTGGTTTTGATTTTCATTTCCCTATGATTAGTGATGTTGAGCATCTTTTCATGTGTCTTTTGGCCCTCTGCATGTGTTTTTTTATAAAAATGCCTATTCAGATCCTCTGCC